TGCAGACAAGGAATCACATGCACTCAAATCCCATGCTTTACAAGAGCATGTTCTAGCTTCAAGCTTCACTTTAAATTGATGTCCATCTTTCTTAATCTCGTATCCATCATCTCGATTGAAATCAACCTAATAACATACATTTTCAGTAAAAAATACCATACAAGCATTTCAAAAAAAAAAAAAAAAAATACACACACACACACATATATATAGATTTCTAATCAAGTGATCGAGAACAAGGTGTTAGGTGAGAACGTGTGGTCTTTTGTTGGTCCTTGATTTTGGGTGATCTAAGAGTTGATATTTACTGTGCAATATGTCTAGTTATTTGCACTGTGCAATATGTATAGTTGTTTGCACTGTGCAAATAATGAATTGCACGGATCTAATCATGGCCGTGCAAAATCAAACATTCAGTCGTGTGGTCTTTTGTTGGCCCTTGATTTTGGGTGATCTAAGGGTTGATATTTACTGTGCAATATGTCTAGTAATTTGCACTATGTAATATGTATAGTTGTTTGCACTGTGCAAATAATGAATTGCACGAATCTAATCATGACCGTGCAAAATCAAATATTCGATGGTGTGGATTTGACCACACATTTTCACCTAACACCTTGTTCTCACCAGATTGGGAACACACACACACACACACACATATATATAGTTCCCGTGCGCATTGTACCATTAGGTGTTCATAAATGCACCAGGGTGAAATGCACAAATACACCATAAAAATGCACAACCGTGGGACGTGTGCTCATGCACCATTAGGTATGCATAAATGCACCACAACATGTTCAGAAATGCTCAAAGGTGAAATCCACAAATGCACCACAAAAATGCACCATAACCTGGTGCATTTCTAAACTCGTTGTGGTGCATTCTTGCATACCTAATGATAAATGACCGCACGTTCGTATGGGCAGTCATGCTCGCACAGGAACCAGACCCTATATAGGGGATGGTTTATGTGCGAAGGAACTCCCAGGTGAAAATAGGGTAAGATCTGAACCGTTGATCTAATCTAGATCAATGACTCAGAATGAAGGAAAATTTAAAAAAATCGCGATACCTAACAACTGGATGCGAATGATCTCCTCCCACCATTATCAAACTAATGTACCTTAAAATTCAAACATATACACTTTAAGTTTCAAATTGGCACATGAATATTCCTAGGGCAGATTAAAATTGTCATTTCTAAATTTGATGTTGTAAGCATTGAAAATTTAAATAATATTGTTGGACCGTGGTGAATATTTAATTCTTAAATTAATTACTATGATTGAGCTAATTGGACTAATATTTATTTAATTGGGTTAATTAAATGGCCCATTAAATATTTAATTGGTTCAGTTACTTAATTAAATGTAATTGAATGATGGATTGTTCGGCCCGAGATGATGAAATATTTAATCGAGTTGGACCAGGCTGCTTGGATGAATTGGGTTGCCTAATTAGCGGGTTTGACTTGGTCTTGGCCCATCAAAATTATATGTGGATTATATAATTTTGAGAAATTTGAATATTTGATATTATTTGGAAATTTAATGAAATCATGAACCTGGACACGATGGTGTCCCGATACATTCCTTAATTTAATTAAAGAAATTAAATTAAATATGGAATTAAGAGTTGGTTGGAGATTTTATCTCACCCTCACCACTATAAATAGTGGTTTCATTTTCAAAGAATGAGAGCTCTGGAATTCCGCATATCGAAGCTCTGCCGAAATCTCTCCAGGATATCATTTGGAACACGCCCGCAGTTGTACTGCGTATTAGCCCTTCATTGAAGAACAAGCTACTAACTCCGGAGGCCCTTCAGCAAGGAACTACTCGAGTTCGGCATACTCTGAACTCGGCATACTTCCAGTTCAACATACTTTGAACTCGGCATACTTCTAATTTGGCATATTCCGGATTCGGCATACTTCCAACAAAGAACTACTTCAAGTTCAGCATACTTTGAACTCGGCACACTTCCAATTTGGCATATTTCAAATTTGGCACACTTTTAACAGACATACTTCTAGTAGAGAAATTAGAGGACTTCTCATATACAGAGATTGTACCCCTTCCCGTTTGATATATACTTGATACTTCATTGTAACCGATACTTTGAATTTTGAATATATACAATTCAAGTTTTTCGCGTTTACAGATGTGAAAAGTAAGTTATTAGTATTCTAGTTCTAATGTCATAGGTTCAATTCTTAGAGACATTTTAAATATTTTTATGTTAGCATATTATTAATAAGTGATTTAACAATTACGTCATTGCCGTGTCATCTACCACATAAGCATGTTTAACGGTTTAAAAAAAAAAAAAAAAACTAACAATGTTAATAATTGTATTTAATTATTCTATTCTTAATAGTACATGAACTAATTTGATCAATGGTAATAATTGTACTTAATTATTCTATTCTTCTCTTAAAAAAAAAAATATTCTATTCTTAATAATAGTACATGAACTAATTTGACTAATTTGATAGTAGAGTAGCAGAGACTAAATTGAACATTTTCTAAATAGTATAAAGACTAATGAAGTACCTAAACATATTTTAATATATAAACATGATATAATTTCATATATATCAGAGACTAAATTGAACATTTTCTAAATAGTATAAAGACTAATGAAGTACCTAAACATATTTTAATATATAAACATGATATACTTTCATATATTATCATGAATTACATGTTGCAATATTGTTAAAAAGAAGTGAAATTCGATCATTTGACTTGTATTATTATTATTATTATTATTATTATTATTATTATTATTATTATTATTATTATTATTTATTAAGGTAACGAGACGACAATACATGATTCACTAATTTTTTTATTTTTTTTTATTTTTTGCAGAAAATGATTCCCTAAAAATTAGTTGTGGAGTTAGTATACCACTTTATATTGCGAGTTTCATGCACAAATTAACTAATATCTAAGTAAATTCATTAGTCTCAAATTAAAATAACGTGAAAGATGTAGTTTGCTGCCATTTTCCAAATTAACAATACAAAAAAGAATTAACTAATAAAGGTATTGTGTTATTACTAAAATCGGTACATAAGAATATAAGATGCTGCAATTGCCTGAAAACCTCTTCACCTACGGTTTTGCCCTCTCCTAGCCAGTCTCTGCCCTGCCCCAAATAGCAAAGTTTTACCTATTAATCCTGTATGAAGACCACACATTACTGCCACAGTTCCTCCAATCACGAGTAATCGCCAGTCAATTCCACTGCCATTGTTCCGTTGTTGGACACCTGAATTCTGGGTTCTTGCTTCCTCGCTGGAATCGGGCTCCATGCTACTACTAGATCCTTCGTCAACTGAAATTTTGGTTGTGATTTGTGCCATCAATGCACACCTAGATGCTGCTGAGGCGTCGGATTTCCTTGTATTCTGATACGCCCGGAACCCAGAATGCAGCTTCTTAACAGTTCCCCACATGCCATGCCGAACACCCAGCTTTGCTACATCCTTGGGAATTCCCATATCTTCGTAGTGGATGAGAGTGACCTCGCATGCAGTGAATTGTCCGTCTCCTTTTCGTGACTCGACTATATAATGGTGTAAAGAGCAGGTTAGTTCTGGGAGCTTCGGTGAAGGGATGAAGCATAAATGAGAGGCATTCATCGATGTCCATAAATTAAATAACCTACCTGGACTAATAACCCAGCTTGAAAAGTAGAGATCCACACGCCTAGGTTTGTCCATCCTTGGCAAAGCTGGATACTGGACACCCTGAAGTTGAAGTTTATGTTTTAGAACATATTTAGATTCAAACATCCCTATGTATATGCCAATGAAAGGATTTACAGTTCAAAGATATGTAAGCATACGAACAATAGCTAATAAAATAATGGCTAATGATATATACTTCGGCTCCATTTGGGAGATGGTGAAAATGGAAATGTTAAAGCTGTGGTGGTGGTCAGATGGGAATAGTTGAAACTTTTGCGATTGGAGTTATGGACCGCTCCAACTGCTCTCCCAAATGCACCCTTCATCTCAAATGCGAATTTCTTGTTTTGATTTGCACTACTGTTAAAGCAAAATAATTGACTTGGCATACTAGAGTAAGTTTGAATCTTTTATGTGTCCAGAAAGTAGACAAGTACACTTTTAATTCCTTGAGTGATAATAATTTGTTCATCCCAAAAACTTTTTATTCAATAAGATGATTATAGGTCCAAGCAAATCCAAGCAAAAATACTCTCCCAAAACTTTCAAGTCCAAAATAATTCATGTTTGAGGAACTCGTACCTTTGTTACACAATAATATGTTCTTCCAGATTCCCATATTCTTTTACCAATAATGTATTCACGATCACTGCAGAAAAAGGGAAACTGCACAATTTCATGTAAATTTAGTATTAGATACAACTTGAACAGTGAAATCACCACAATTGTTTATCAGTAATACTGATTTAATATCAAAAAGACCTTTTTAATCCAGTGAAGTATCATAAATCCAGTATGAGGGCATTCGTGCAATATCTTGACGTATGCAAGCATAGGATCCCATCTAGGCCTAAACTCATCATCCCAAAAGAAATCTCTTACTAGTTCTGGAGTAGCATCCTCAAACACTGTTTTGCTCCGGAGTAGCATCCCATTTGGGCCCGTCTGGGAAACAAAAAGAAAGATCCAGTAGCATCCTCAACCATGGAATACATGATTTCCCAAATATGCAATTTTAAAGCTAATACAAATATCCAAACATGAAAGTATGAAATTATCTGTTATGTTCTCCCATCATGGGCAAGAAAACATAAGGAAAAATGAGTTGTATTTTACCCTATAAAAAGGGGAACCAATTTCAATGAAAGAAAAGCAGAAATTTAATCCCAAAAAGGGTCAAAGGGAGTTTTGGGTCTCAAGCAAACCCAATATTTTCTTCTCTTCCTTTTCCAAATGTTATTCTCTATTCATTTTTCCTTATGTTTTCTTGCCCATGACGGGAGAACATAACATTGGTTTCGTTGTCGCCCAGCGGTTAGGATGTCTGGCTTTCACCCAGGAGACCCGGGTTCGATTCCCGGCAATGGAACCAATGTTATGTTCTCTCATCATGGGCAAGAAAACATAAGGAAAAATGAATAGAGAATAACAGTTGGAAAAGGCAGAGAAGAAAATACTGGATTTGCTTGAGACCCAAAATTCCCTTTGACCCTTTTTGGGATTGAATTTCTGCTTTTCTTTCATTGAAATTGGTTCCCCTTTTTATAGGGTAAAATACATCTCATAGAATGTCTAAATAAGCTAAGTAATATGTTGAAATCTTAGCATGTATTATTATCTGCCAATAGGGAGGAAAAGTAAATGAAAGAGAACTAAAATAAATTATATTCAGACAAGTTAAAAATTCAACTACCCCTTCAACAACAAAAAACTAAAATATGAACCATAATTGAAATCCAAACTCAAGGTTTTTGAAATTATCATCTCAAGATAGAATTTCAGGTCCATAAGCATTGAGTTTGGGCTACACTAGATCCAAGATTCAATTACTTGAATTGAGGAAGTGTCACCATATTAACATCTATTCACAGAAAGAACCATCAGTCCATCACACATACCCAAAAGCTATCAATACTGAACATGTACCCTCACAACATGTGGATGAATCAATTATGTGGAAATATTTTGATTTTAACATGAGGGGATCAAATCCTAGACTTTTTGCTTGCTCTTGATACCTTTGTTGCATGAGTCTTTAAATCTAATTTTATTTTTTGGTCCTATCCTGTAGGGTGTTAATTCCATAGCTCATGAATTTTGGAGGTCACTCCAACATGACTTACAATTTTGTCTACTACATGCTTTGATAACCAACTTAACCAACTATAGAGCCCCTACCCTGCTCCCAAACAAACTACATTACACAGCATCAAGGCTCATTCACAAAATATGAGTTGAAACTCAAAAGCTCAAAATTGTACACCAATTTGTTACATATGGAGAAACTCAACTTTATCTAGTAGTCATAATCCTATCTCCCACCAATGTGGGATGTAACATATGCCCATTTATTATTTAATATTTATCCTCAACATTAACAAAAGGATTTTATATGTGGTCCGCATTTGCAAAGATGAAATTTACCTCACATTTGAGATCTATTCATATGTTTCTGGCTTGTTTTAAATTTCTAAACCACTGTTAAATATTCGGTTCATTTGGAAGTCCACCCAAGGCGTCTGTCAAATTCCAAGAATTTTAGCTCCATTACTCATTAGTGAAGGGATAACTACTCCCTTTTTGAACGAAACAAGCAATAATAGCATGGAAAAAGGGGCAGCATTATAAAAGCAAGCTACAGTTTTTAAAAAATTGCATAAAAATATGTTTCTGAAGAAGGGAGGGAAAACAAACATATCCAAATTAAAGTTAAAACAAACCTCAGACTCATGACGCCAAGCTTGGTATGTCATGTTTGATGTAGAGCGCTCCATCATGCTCTGCCATGCCATCTTCCCATCTCTGCCATCTAGAAGATGCAGTAAGTGTTGCAGATCATCCTCTGTCACCACATCTTTCCGTTCAGCAGTTCCAGTAATGTCCCTGCCAGAGGAACAAAACTAATATTAGACAACAAGACAAGAGTGCTACATTAATGCTCTAAACCAACTACAAGTGCATTGGAATATGAAATTTACAAAATCTTAATTACCTATAGCAAAATTATTGTGCCTTCATACATTTTCAGTAACTGTTAGATCATATTATTAACTACACAGTTCCAAACAGTAGCATAGTTGCTACATAGCAATCCATATTTGCAAAAGGTGTAAAAAGGCAAACGAGCCTCAAAATAAACCCCAAAATAATTATAAAACTGATCTGAAGGGGTTGATCTTATTTGAACTCACCCCTATATGTGTGTGTGTGTGAAGTAATGTTATTATCAATTATTAATTATATAATTAATATTTGAGATAGTTGTAGAGTTCTGAGTTCTAACTCCTAGTTTCCAGAGATTCTAGAGTGTCAGAGTGTGTATTTAACCTCTCCTATCTCTTTAGTCTTACTCTTACAGTGCAGTTCAAACTATTAATATCCATGTCTCCGAATCCCATTTTACTCAGTCCACACATTGATGCCTCAAAAACTGCCCTTGCGTGCGCTTCACCTGCACAAAGGATACGCCTTTTGCTCTGAGACAAGAGCGTATACCTTGGGGCGTAAGTGAGCGTAACAGCATCACCTCAGAGGCTCAGACTTAGGCAAGCCTCAAAACCGTCTTTTTAACTAATTCTCAACTTTTGAGAGAAAAATTGGTCCTGTCCTCATTTTGGATTTTAAAAAAAAATGCTAAATTGCTAACAGAAGCAAGCTAGAACAGAGGTGTGACATGTTGCATAGAACATAGAACAAGACACTACATCTAACATATAACAATCTCTCCCTATATCAAATAACCTATATCCTAGAAGAAATTATATTTTACACTAAAAAAGGTTGATTGATGTACCATAACATTCAAATGACAAACTATTTCCAAACTCCAAAGCAAAATGTCTTCAAAAAAGGTTGCAATTTTCAAATGAGACAAGTTGCATAAAACCACCCATATTCACAAGGTACAGGAAAAGGCCACTAACTTCACTTTGCCAAAGCCCAAAAGTCAAAGGCATTATAGCAAAGAACAATAAATAAAATAGAACTCAAAACCTACCCAAATAGGTGAATGGCAGGATTACCACAGACAGTAAGATGTTAACCACTAGCACAGTAGCACCTTCTATAATTTCTATTAGTATTCTTCTGCCTTTTTCTTCAGCAAGTCCTTGTTTGGCCCAGTTGGAGCTTACTGAGAAATAAGCTTTTTTAAACAGTCTCAACTACAGAACTTCTTGATATAAAGTGGTTTTTACCACTTCTTCAGTTTTAAAGGGGAGTTTTCTATGTGCTTGGCGCAATTTATACTTGTTAGAGTGAATAAGCTGTGACAAGCTATGGGTTAATGGGCCAAACAATCACTAGTGCATCCGAATAGGAATTGCATCTAATTGAAGTCAGAAAGTGGTGTTGAGCAATAATATATAAAACATAAATGAGGTCTAACCGTCTATCAGCTTTAGACTATTAGTGGAGAAGGAGCACATCCTTCAATTAGTGGCTAAGCCACTTTATTATTTGTGGTCATTTGTTGTGTTACCACTTACCACATCCTTTACCTTCTTCCCTCCATTTTATCCCTATAAGCATGATTGCCATTCTCTTTCAACATCACTAATTCTCAGATTCTTATGGAAGATGAAAAGCACCTTACAGTGTTTCATCGTCGTTTACTGCATATCTCTATTTTTCATTTTTCAGTTTTCCATTTCTTCAATTTCCCATTTCTCCAGTTTTCAATTTCTCTAGGAAAAAAGGGTTAGAAATGTTGTTGTAAGGCATTGAAGTGTAGATCTACTTTCTCCATTTCTCCAAATTTGGAGAATTAGTTAAATGGATTGTCCAAATTCTAGAAAAATGGAGAACGATTCTCCATTTTTCAATTTGGAAAAATTGTTTTAGTAAACAAGTTTGGACACAAGTGATTTTCCATTTCTCCACTTCTCTATTTTTCTAGAAAAATGACTCATTTCTCCAGTTTTCTATTTTAGAAGTCATGCTATGTAATTGACATACTTGTATAACATACACATTTATGTGAACATTCGAGTTAAACTGCTGAAGAAATGCAACAGCAAAATCTATAATGTGGACACAAGTGCCTAAAATCAGTTTGATAATCATTCTAGACAATGTACAGTGAAGCCTCATAGCATTCTCTGTCAGCAATATTTAGCGAAAGCAATTAACTCAGTTTCAATTGAACGAAGGCATAGAGCTACTAAAGTCTGAATCTTAAAAAAAGAAGAACCATAACAGTTTACAAATGGCAACAAAACCCAGGAGTAGAAACTCGCTTTGTAAATAACTATCCGCAGTGTAGATATTCAAAAAAGAAAATTACCTTTAAACATTACACAAATTAAAACTCCGTAGAACTTTTCACAAACAAAAATCTCAAATAGAATACATACCTGATTGAATCATCGCCGCTGCTATCCGTGACCAAAGACGAAGGCGGAACCACCAATGTAGCCCCCTCCGCATCATCTGTGGTGGACGGTTTCTGCGACCTACCGCGGAAATTAGTCCACAACCTCCGCCCAACTGAATAAGCCGAGAGCGCCGTAAGGGCAAACCAAAGCCTGCGAGCACCAAACCCGGGGGGAGCGGTCCATACGAGCCGATTCAGTTTCGAACGCAGGCCCAAAAACACGAGGCCAGTCCACCGCGGCCGCCAGGACCACCCGATCATGAGCCCAATCATCACCGCCACCCAAATCGGCACTACGCAGAGCAAAATGTCGACAAATGTTTCCATCACCGCCGGCCTATTGACCAGCTCCCCGAGATCCACCCACCTCCCAACCTCCATATTCGTCCTCCTAAGATTCCAATCAAATATAAGAAAAATACTTCAAGTGTGCACGCATATGCAGGCGTATTCATGTGCGTATCCGCAAGGATTCAAGAGATGGAGAATCATTGCAGCTACACGGAGAGATTTTTGCAGAATTTCGACTGGGGGATTGCGATGAGATCGATCGCTTGCCGGTAGGGATGAATACGTGGCAGAATCAGGACGGCTAATCGCCTCGTGTGGATTCCGACTGGAATTTAGCGTGTAAACGCAGGCGAGTTTTGTGGGATCGAGTATTCTTGTGGACAAGTAATAATAATTATTATTTTTTTTTTTGAAGAAACAAGTAATAATTAATTTCAGATGTTGCATTGTTGGATTAGGCTATCCTTCTCCGCAATGGGAAATTGACAAATGTGACAAAACCAACATACAATTCTCAAAATGTGACGGTCTAAAAAGGTGGACGATTTTAGAAAAATGACGTTTGGGACTTGGTTTGAGTTCAAAAACCAAAGTCCCAAATGTATTTGAATTTTTTTTTTTTTTAAATGTTGACTACAAACGCAAATGGGATTTGTATAAAATAATACATCAAACGCAATTCTCACTTGCGTATCTTGAACTTA